AGGCAAGAAAGGAATGACATTTAATGTGCACCAAACTCTACCTGTTAAAAACTATTTAACCAGCGTGTCTACTTGACAATGTTCTCCTTCCTTGTTAATTTCACCTAGATGGGTCCCCCATTTTGGAGGAGAGGAAAAACAAATAAAGTAGTCCTTTGGGTTGAGTCTGATCGAAAGAGCTGAGAATGAAGACACCAGCAGAAATTGTCCCTGTCAATAGCCCATAGTGATTCAGGACAGTATTTCGGCCCAATCTTCTCCAAGTATTTCTAAAAATATTTATATTGTTATTTTTCTTTTAAGGGTCTGATCATCAATAAAAAAAAATTATTTCAATTCTCAGTACATGTACACACACATTTCCAAATATCCTTAGGGAGGAAGGGTATACTAGTTATTAGTTAAAAAAAAAAAGTGAAGATTTGTAATTCTAACTTTAAAATTGGATTCACAGTTTTGTAGTGTTAACATACATTTTGTGTGTGTGTGTGTGTGTGTGTGTGTGTGAGGAAGATCAGCCCTGAGCTAACATCCTTGCCAATCCTCCTCTTTTTGCTGAGGAAGACCAGCTCTGAGCTAACATCTATTGCCCATCCTCCTCCTTTTTTTCCCTTTTTCTCCCCAAAGCCCCAGTAGATAGTTGTATGTCATGGTTACACATCCTTCTAGTTGCTGTATGTGGGATGCTGCCTCAGCGTGGCGGGAGAAGCGGTGCGTCTGTGTGCGCCCGGGATCCGAACCCGGGCCGCCAGTAGCAGAGTGCACGCACCTAACCGCTAAGCCACAGGGCCGGCCCATATAGCGTTAACATACTTTTAAGGTAGAATTGAGCTTCCATGACAGTAAAGTGGGAGAAATTCTATGTGGGTTGAGATGTGTTTATTATTTTTAATACAATGACCTAGGTAGTAATAAACCATCCCATGAATTTTGCAGTAGGCTTGAGATATAGGGTTTTGTATCTTTAACTGGGGAAAAGTTGCTAATTATGAAATTACATAATGAAACAAAACATAAACAGAAGAGTGGAACTCCTAAAAGATTACTGTTTTTGTCCAATCGGTGCTAAAAAACAGATTTCTCTGTTTAGCCAAAGAATCATTCTTAGGCACTTAATACTCCAGAGGCCATCGGAATGGAATATAACACCCGTGGATTATTTATTGTAAACTGCAGAAAGCCTTATACAACTGCGCAGTCCAGTCAGGTAGCCACTAGCCCCATTTGCCTATTTAAATTAAAATTAATTCAAATTAAATGTGTGTTCAAATCCAGTGCATATTTCAAGTGTCCAATAGGCCCATGTGTCCAGCAGCTACCAGATTGGACAGAGCAGACATAGAACATTTCCAACATGAACAATACCAATCTTAAGGAGTATATAAATTTTTATTGTTTATGTTTATATTTTTTCATGTAAAAATATTGGCCAAATTTCACCAAGACCCTAAAATATTTAAAAGAATCCCAAATAGGCTACTATAGCCTGGAGCTAGTGTGGCAGATCTCAAAATTTCTACAGATTTGGGGGCCATTTAAAGAATCTGTTGAGACAATAACATTCAGCAGAGTTAGCACTCCTGAGACTAGAAGTTCCAGCAGATTAAAAGGCAAACAAAATGTTTGCAAAATGTATTCAACATTTTCCTGGTAGCCACGCCACTCTAATATTTAAATACTAGAATACTACATAATATTTTTAAATTTATATTGGTATGCTTTAGTGTTTATTTTATTAAAAATTACGCTACTTGGTAATAGCGTCATTAATGTCACATAGGGTTATTATTAATGTTATATATCCAAGACGTAACAAAAAGCATTTGTTCTGTTGTAAGCAGGGGGCTCTTCTTAGACCCTCTGGGGTTCTTTCTCCTCTTATGCTCCTGTGGGGAGGATTTACAGAAATTCCTGTCTGAGGCTTTTCTGCCACTTACCAGCGGGGTTCTGCACAGCTAAATGTTGCTGAGGCCCCAGCAGAGGCTCAGAAGAAAAGAGAAGGAAGAAGGTGCCTGTCTGCAGCTCAGCAGGAGTTCTCAGACCACAACATCTGCCTCCCGTGGAGATTGTTAGAAATGCAGACTCTCAGGCCCCTGAATCAGAATCTCTTCCAGATCAGTGGCTTGCAAACTTGAGGCAGCCCCATAATTACCTTGAGAACTTGTTAAAACAACTCCCTGGGCCTCTCTCCCAGAGTTTCCAATTCATTAAAGGTGTGACAATGCTGATTCTGATTCTGATGGAGGACAGGGACCACACTTGGAAACCACTGCTCTCACTTGTCCTCCTAGTTGGTTGCACATTGGAACCACCTGGTGAGCTTCCTAAAAGCCTGATGCTTGAGTCCCCCTTCCAGAGATTCTGAGTTAAATGGCTAGTGTAGAACATGGGTCCTAAGATTTTTTTAAAAGCTCCCCCTGGAGATTATAATATGTAGCCAGATTTGAGACGCCCAGCCTATATATATTTCATAGTCAGAACTTCTACTGGGGGGGAAGCAAAATTGGATCTAAGCAGCAACCCCTATGATTCTGGATGATGCTAGAATATATCTCTAGGGTTCAGGGTGAACACACCAGTTCTACCGAGCTTCTCCATCATCTTCTACACATGAAAATCCTCACTACCAAAGCCTTGGGACCAGGTTTATTAGCCACTCCTTCATTCATTCCACAAATATTCACAGCGTCTCTGCTATGAAGAGACCTTGCTGTAGCTAATGGAGGCACATCATTGAACAGAATCATGGAGCTTACATTTTACTCTCACACCTATGTTAAACTCAAAATAATTGCTCTGTGGTGTTAAAGGAAAAACAGAGCTAGACAGTGGTTAAAGTGGTAAATACAGATTTTATTCAGGAAAAAAACTATCGCAATAGGGGAAAAGAAACCTCAGTATAAAACTGGGGCTCAATTCCAAATACAGCAAGGAAAAGTGGGAATTTATAGCCAAGGAGTCAGGGTGGGGTCAGTGGATGGAAAATGAGTAAGAGGAAACATCAGGAATCAGGGAGATTCCAGCTACAGAGACCTAACAAGATTCTTGCTGAAGCCAGGCCAGGGTGATCAGACATCTCCTGGGGGACAGTGGAGGATGAGGAACTAGAGCAGATATGGAGAGTGGTCAGACATCAAGAGTGGGGATTCTGGCTAAAGTGACTTAGCAGGATTCTTGCTAAAACTGGATGACGCAGAGATGAACACAGAAGCCCAAAAATCAGGGCCTAGTGATTGAGAAGAGAGTTCAGAGGAGCCTGATTAGAGTTTGGTTAAGGAACTAATCTTTGTCAGTGGATTGATAATATATATATATGTATTTATACACACATATGCAAATATATAAAATATATACATCATATATAAACACATATGCATGCACACACACACCCCTCACACAGAGAATGTCTTTCAACAAATTGTTGTCTCCCTTTTGTTCCGGACCGGATTTTGATGTTGCTCAATTAACTCCCTCAGGTCTTCACATGAACCTGACTTCCCAGATGAAATTTGGAATGCTGTGTATGTGCGGATGAAAAGTGCCCAGTCTGTTATTTGCCAATTGCCATTCCAAAACGGGTGGAGAGGAAGAGTTGAAACTTTTAATGGGTAGCATCTGTTCAGTCTCTCTCCCTCTTCCCTCCACCTCATGTGCTGCCTCCTCCCCACCCAATTCCCATCCCTAATTTCACAACCTTCTTTCCCGGCTTCTGCGTGTGTGTGTGTGTGTGTGTGTGTGTGTGTGTGTGTGTAAAATCCTACTCCCTTTTCACACCAGCCTGCTCTCAAAAACATCTCTGCTCCTCCGGGAAAGCCTGGAAGATCCCAGACCTCCTGCCCAGAAGTGGTTGACAATGTAGTGTTTTCATTCGAATGCAAATTCGTCTCTGGACAAGATTCAAGGAAAGTGCTTTCCCCTCCAACTGTCTCTCCAGCTCCACCCCAGCCCCTGTTGTCTTTTGTGTTCTTGTAAATAAATGAGAGGCGACTGGCTTTCAATTTGAAGACACAGCTGCAGGGGGCTCTTAAAAGCAAGCTAGAGAGAGAGATGCTGAAAGATTTGGAGCCCAGCATTAAAATCTAGAAAAGAG